GACGTTGCGAGTTTTCGAGAGAAAAGTTCTGCGAAAGATTTATGGTCCTTTGCGCGTTGGCCACGGCGAATATCGCATTCGATGGAACGATGAGCTGTATGAGATATACGACGATATTGACATAGTTCAGCGAATTAAAAGACAGCGGCTACGCTGGCTAGGTCATGTTGTCCGGATGGATGAAAAAGCTCCAGCTCTGAAAGTATTCGGCGCAGTACCCGCCGGGGGAAGCAGAGGAAGAGGAAGACCTCCACTCCGTTGGAAGGACCAAATGGAGAAGGACTTGGCTTCGCTTGGAATATCTAATTGGCGCCACGTAGCGAAAAGAAGAAACGACTCTACGCCAATCAAGAAGAAGATATTTCCTTTTCCGAAAATATACACGTCGAAGTGTAACCGATCAGTTAGGTAGACTGTAAATGTGTGAATTAAGTAAATGGTGCCATACTCGGTTAGAATTTCATAACACATAAACTGGATAGAAAAGTGTGTTAAAGATTTGCACTGCAGCCTGTGATTTATTCTGCATTTGCTCTTATCAACTTACTTTATCTGACCCATCAAATTGACAGTGTGGTGATAGAAAAGACATGAGTAATCGGAAACAGGTTTCTCCCCTGCAATGTCATAAAAACGTCAGTAATATGTAGATCCTCATTTTGTATATATCACACATAAATTTGCAATTACCTATCTGCATAACTTAATTACTCGTTGAATATGGAATACTTATCGGTATTTTATGATACGGTTAATATGATAAGTGCCATTTTCTTAACGATAAGCTACTGTGCGAAGAAAAAATTTTAACATATATTGCAGCTCATTAACTTAATTATCACCATCTCTAAGAAAAGTAATTTTAATAGCTGGGCCGGATTCGCAGAACCTTGGACATTTTCTTCTAAACTATTAAAATCTATTATGTCTGGCCGCAAACTCAGCGAGCAGCAAGGAAGAACGCCGTAAGTTTATTTAGTTAAAACGCTTTCAAAATTACCCATTTCATTAAGTCGAATATGTATTTATTCCATGAAAAATGGATCTTTCTAATCTAATTGGTATATATACACTCGGTTTACAAGTGCGACGGTGCATTATCATGGTGCTCCGGTCTCTTTTTACGAATACCTTGTAGCAAAAAACGTGTAACATTCAAATAGTGTTCCTTGTTGACAGCTTAGTCGAAAGGAATTTCGAGTACACTACACCTCGTTAATCAAAAAAAAACTGTCAACATAAACTTGAATTTCGAGTTATTCTGACGAGGTTTTCCGGCTTCCGCTCACTTTTGTCACGATATTAAGCCGATTAGTTGTCTATTTTCGGGTTGTAACTATAGGTAGAAGAGTCGTCGTCATCATTGTTATAATAAGTTTCATGACATCCTAATAGTAGAAAAGCATTGTTTTCAGACGTTAACACACGCTGTTTATCGAAAAATGTGAGTGATTTTGGAACCAATCAGCTTTTACTTTTCTTATGCCCTAACGATCTTTCAAAATAGGCTTTTACAGATTCTTCCGATATTCCAACGATACCAGTAAGATCTTTTACTGTTCATCGCCGACTCTCAAGCAACAATTACTTTATTTAGTTTACGTCCTGGACATCGACGACTGGGTTCTCGCGCCAAATTTAAATTAGAAAGTCTTACTGTTTTTTATCCACAGTAATATACAGCTTACAGCCCGGTCCGTTGTGGTATCGGACATTATTATATAACTGATCATAGTAAACTTATAAAGCGGCAAAGCGCCTTGAAGCTATCACAAATTTATTACGGACTCTAATGTCAAATTCGGCTATGTTTCCTGGTTCGACGAAGGTATGACTACCGAGATTTTTCAATGAATGATAAATCTGCATATTCTCGTTTCATAAAACTTCGACAGTTAGCACCCAACAAGGTTTTCAGCTTTATCGAATGAATGCTTATTGAACAATGTCCAGTAAGGTAGCAAGATCTATCAGCCACATAAGAGTTATTAACCAATGTCTGCGAAGCACACGGACGGCTCAAAGGACCATTGTTAAAACGCGAGATGACAAAAAAACCAACTCATTCCCACTCAAAAGTAAGCTTCACAAGGCTGTACTCTCTTGTTAGTTCGTCGGCTTTGCAGTTACCGCAGCTCTAACGTTGAGCTCACATTGAGCGAGGTCTGCGCTAAAAATGCTGCTCTTCTATCAGAGTAAATGTTTATTTTGATGAAACTTGATTTACTTTTTCTTTACCACAGAGAATTTCTAGTATGATTCTCTGCAGTATCAGAATGTGTGATTTAAGATCCTTTCAGTACTAAAGCTGCATACATGCCACTATTTTAATTAATCATGATTCAATAGATGCAGCAAAACTAGAACCAATAATGTATCTTAAAACTTCTCTAAGAACTTTCTGGCGGCACTATACCGATCATTAGTATCGTCGCACCGATGTTCATTATCGAAATTATCGATATAATCTCACTTATAATTTGTATGTGTTGAAAATCAATTGGGTTTGGAATTTTAGGTCAAATCGCTGGAATCTCTTTAATTTAATTATAATATTAACATTATTTTAATATTTAGCACTCTAAATGGCTGAAGATTTATAAAATTGAAAATTATTGCTGCTTATCTCTCTGTTAAATTTTTCTTGTACAAAACTTCTCAATCGTATCAATTCCTGACTATTTATTAAAGTCACCTTTAACAGCCAGAAAAGTGCAAACAATCAAAATTCACCCCACAGAACAAACGCTGGAGAAGCAAGTACAACAACTATTATATTTCAGTCAATTTAGCCAGGCTGTTGTGAAATTGACAAAGTGCTCAAATTGAAAATCATCTTATTTAGCAAAACGATTGGATTTAACTCGCTTGCCCGCTTCGGAACGGAAATGAACCCATTGCGAGGCGGGCACATTGAGTAAAGTCTGGGATACACCGCCGGCAATATGTTTAGCCGGCCAGGAGGTCAACATCTGTTTACTGCCAGACGCCAATTGTCATTGTTTGTATGCTGCCACTGCTTAGTGCTAAGTTAGCCATTCTTCCTGTCTGCTTCCTGTCACCGCCTGCGCTACTACACTTTGTTGCTGCTATATCGCTGTTGTTTTTGCATTTTCTGCTCAAAGTTGTTTTTTGCTGTTGTCAGTGCTTTTACATTGTGTTTATGGCACTGCCCGTCCTAAGCCCGGTCTCTGTCCACAAAAACATTTGGCCCGTATTAACTTTAATGCCTCTACAGATTATTATGATTATTGCCTTTCCGTTGCGCATGTGTTTGTCTTGCCACAATGCTCGAATGCCTGAAATCTATATTATTTTCTTTCGCTATTGTTTTTATAAGAGTATTATATCCGTATGTGTATGAGTAAATTTTTGGCTTAAACTTGCGCCATGATTTTTATCCTATTGCATTTGTATATTTTTTAATGGCACTTAATATTTCATTTCATGGTTGCGACTCTGTCAGCCAGTCACTATCCCCAAATATCCTTGTTTAGTGCAATTTTCCTGCTTTTCCTTTTTCTTCATTTTTTATGTATATGTCGTTTGTCTTTTACGCGATTGACCACAATTGTTTGGATATCCCTTTTTGATTTTCTGCTAGCTTACAAATAAATGTGGCGAAGGAGGGTGTGCGCTTTTGTTGATTGTTAAATTGGGTCACTTAGTGTGTATTATTGGCGGATAATAAAATATTTATTGTTAGAATGACAATTGTTTTATTGGAAATGGTTGGAAGAGTACAACTTAGAAAGTACTATTTTACAACACTAAATAAGTTAATGTGGAGTGTTTTAAGTATATTGTAATAATATTTAAACTAAAACATAAATAAAATTATCAATATTTTGACCTAATTAGCGTTGAGTTACCGCTTTATATTCCATTTAAAAAGAAAAAGTTAAATTTAGCGTCACTTGGGACTAATATCTGTCACAGATACATTTTTGATAGCATAAAATGGTAAAAAAATTTATCAAGATTTTGATCGGCCAGTTTGAATGACAGTTGTATGCTATAAAAATCCCATCTAAATAATTTTTTTCATTGTACCGTCATTACACCGTTGCCTTGGCTAATAATGTCAAATTTCGTGAAAATATCTCGTCAATTACAAAACTTTTCCATACAAAAACCGGATTTGATCGATTAGTTTGTTTGGCAATTTCTGATTTTACCGTTGCTTTGAGCAATGATTCGTTCCGAATTTCGTGAAAATATTTCGTTAAAGAAAAAAGGATTTCATATAATGAAATATATTCGGTATTAAGTTTATATCGCAGGTATGTTAGGTGCGTTAATGCTTGGATACCAACGAATCCTACTAATGAGCAGCTTCTTGGAGAGAAAAGAACGTGTGAAGAAACATTACATGAACAATACATGAGGCATGTCTAAATAGAGTCAAGTCGTCATATTACATATGTAAAGGGTGATCCATCTGGAGGTTCCCTACATTTTTAACAAATTTAAAATTTAATAGGGAATGTTTATTAACATTCTTTGATATTTTTCTGTTGAAGATTATCTCTTGGCCTGAATTGAAGCAGAATTTTTCGCATAGACTTTATACATTACATATCCGCACAAGAAAAAGTGGAAAGGTATGATATCACATGATCTTTGTGGCTAATCGACGAGCCCAAAACGTGAAATTATCTGTTCACGGAGGGGTTCTCTCTATAAATAAATTGACAATGCAATGTGTGGGAACTATTTCTTGTTGAAACCAGCTGGCTTTTCAAACGAAAAATTCACGCGACATTATTATTATCCTCAGATATATTATATATAAATATTTTATTCTTATTGAAAAAAGTCCAAATTTCAAATAAATATATGTAATCGCCTAATCGAGATTGTCGCAGAAATGTTTGAAGTTTGAAAAGTGTTTTTTCTGAATATGTGTTGGCTATTTTTGAGAACTAAAATTAGTTGGTGAAATTTTAGTTTGAATGAAAAAACGAAAATGTTATGTTAAATGTATGGGAACTTAAAAAAAAAAATAGCGACCCCTATGAGTTAAGCCACAGCTCCTAGCTTGAGGGCGCATTTTTTGTTTGTCAATCACTAACGTTTGAGGGGGTAACAGTTGAAAAAAAAAATTCCCAAATTTTTTTTTGAAGCACCCTTATGTACACTCTCAGCTACGGCTGCTATATTTTCGTCACTGCCTGTTAGACGTGGTTTATTCGGTCGAATATCATCCAATAATGAATGCTGGGTCTGAAGATGGGTGATGGAGTAGCGAATGGTATGCTCAGTAGGTCGATTACGTTGACCATAGTTGAGCGTAGCGAGCGAAATACTTTCTTTACAAAACATGCATTTTTGGAATAAAGTTAAACGACTTATAAACGTTGTTTAAGCGAAAATCTTTTCATGTTGAAATGTTAAATAATACTGAAAAAAAATTACATGACAGCTTGACACGCCTCATGCGTGATCGGTTAAAAATGGATATTGAAAAATATAGCTGTACTTGGATCACACGTTATATATTTTATATAGTATCCGAAGTTTCTGCGTGTTATGAACATCGTCTAAAACTTATGTCCAGGGTATAAAAAAGTGAACCAGTAAATTATGCTACCCGGTAACTTTATCTCTTACAGATAAGTGCATCAAGAGGAGCAAACCAATTAATATTTAGTCTCAGGTCCGAAGATGTCAATATTTGAAAAGAAAGTTTACAGCCAAATTATTTACTAAGTTGTTTTTCCTTAGCCGTGTATGGAAATGACTGTGTCCGCGGTTTTAGAAAACTTGAAAATACCAATATTGAATATAGACTTGATTCTTGTAGTTCGAAAATAAATCTTGAAAGTTTTGTGAAAGTTTTGCTGAAAGAACGGAGAATTATTAAAAAACCAAAATAGTTTCACTTAACATTAAAGCCACATTTACCTTTTATTGAGGAAACTTCATCGCCAACGTTTATTCCAGCTCCTGTCGATTTGCGAAACTCCTCAGCTTTATTATACATCTGCTTCCAGTACCGGACCTTGCAGCCCAACATGTCCGTAGTCGCATCGATATTTGTTGTTTCAATTAATTTTTGATAGTACAGTTGGGCGTTTGGTTTCTATAAGAAGATGTATTAAAGTGTTTAGTAAAAGCAAATTGTATAAAGAACTATCTCAATTTCCACAATTTCTAGTTAATATTATAGAACGAAATGGTTTTTCTCCTCACTCCAGTTTTTGAGGATTTGCCTTCCTGCGTATTTGCTTTTGAGGTTCCACTTAAAATAAGTATTTAATGAAATAAAACTATTTGTTGAAGATGTACTTACTTTTGCAAAATTTTTCCTAATTCACGAAGTGAGCACCAAATTTATTTTCACCGTTTAAAAATATGTAGAGCAACGAACAACAAACAAACAGCTGATGTGATATTACCGAGTAACGAAACAATTATCAAGCTTCCCAGATGGATAGCTCGTTGCTCGGTAGAACGATAGTTTGTCCATTTTACAAAAACAAAATACATATCAAAAACTACCGAATAACGACTAACGAATTAACAAGGCTGGTCTGAATATCCCTATAGTCTTGTTCTGATACTTATCTGACTTCACGTATTTCACTGAAAGTCACTTCATGTCTAATAATATTTATCTTTACTAATACTTTGCAGAAAATGGCAATAATTTTGTCAGTATGATTCCATTTGGTTCGAAACACATTTTTTTTTTAAAGAAATTTTTTGTTAAATGAAACTTTTTTGGTTTTTTAATCATTCTACAATCTTTCAGGAAAACTTTCACAAATGTGTCCGACTTATGAACGGTTTTCGGTTCTATTTGGAAGTAAATCCGAAACCAATTATAGCAACCATGAAGTATCACAATAGTGCAGCGATTTTGCAGACCTTGTAGAGGTAGTGGAAATTGCTGCCGAATCATCACAATAATCTGCGGAACCACCGGGTTCAATTAACGAGAAAGCAGAACAGACAACAGTAGGAGCAAAGGTAGCAACAGTTCCTCCTACCCATCCATCGTTCCTCGAAAAAGTGAAAAAACGTGCTCCAAATAATTTTTTTAGTGAACTTAAAGATATACAAAAGAAAAGAGAACAGTTTTTTGAGCAACGAATAGAAATTGAACAAGTAAGGAAGGGCTAAGTTCGGGTATCATCGAACATTTTATACTCTCGCATGACAAGTTTCATCAATATATCTCAATTTTTACTCAAGTTACAGCACGGACGGATAGAAAGACATCCGGATTTCAACTCTAGTCGTCACCCTGATCACTTTTGTATATGTAACCATATATCTGACGATATATACCGTTATTAGCAACTTTATTGCGAGAGTATAAAAATGATGCCCTCTGAATTACCTGAAAATATCTGAGAGATTCACCGATATTTTCGGTGAAAAATTAGGTTAGGTTAGGTTAGGCACTGAGTTCTCCGTGTTCGATATCAGGGACCTTGAAAAGTTCACGAAAATTTTTCCACAAGGGATACCTCTGCTCAAATACCGTATTTGTGTAAAGTTTTATTCCGCTATCATCATTGGTTCCTAATGTATATATTATAGAGAAGGCATCAGATGGAATTCAAACTAGCATTATATTTAAAGAAGGCAGCTTCCTTCTGCCATTTCTTCCGTAAAATTTAGTGTTTTTAGCCGTTTTTTATTAGTCCGTTAACGCATTGTTAGTGATTTTCAACATAACCTTTGTATGGGAGGTGGGCGTGGTTATTATCCGATTTCTTCCTTTCTATAGAGCTTGGTTGACGTAGCTATAGTAGTTTTCGAGATATGTACAAAAAAGTTAGTAGGGGGCGGGGCCACGCCCACTTTTCCAAAAAAAATTGCTTTCAAATATGCCCCTTCCTAATGCGATCCTTTGTACCAAATTTCACTTTAATATCTTTATTTATGGCTTAGTTATGACACTTTATAGGTTTTCGGTTGTCGCCATTTTGTAGGCGTGGCAGTGGGCCGATTTTGCCCATCTTCGAACTTAACCTTCTTATAAAGCCAAGAAATAAGTGTACCAAACTTCATCACGATATCTCAATTTTTACTCAAGTTACAGCTTGCAAGGACGGACGGACGGACGGACAGACAGACATCCGGATTTCAACTCTACTCGTCATCCTGATCTCTTTGGTATATATAAACCTACATCTGCCTCTTTTAGTTTTAGGACTTAGGACTGACAGAGAAAAGTTAAATAAAGAGTTTGAAATGAAAAAATTGGAGTCGGATCTAAAAGAAAGACTGGCAATGATTGAACTGAAGTACAAATATAATATATAACAATTGTATATGTTTTGTATAATAATTTTTAAGAATGAACAAATGTATCTAAATGTGATATCTTGAAGTTATACAACTTTTTATATGTATGTATATAAAAATGAAAAATTAATTTTTGATTTAATTATAATTTTCAATTTAATTAAACAGTATTTGGAAACATGAGATGATGTAACGATTATATTTTTAATTCAAAGCTATTTGAGATTGATTCTGCCACTTCTCCTTCATAAATGTCTTCATTTGTACTCTCGTTGACATTCCTATTTTCACTGTTATCAAGTACTATATTGTGAAGAATACAGAATTAAAAGTTAAAGTATTTTTGACTACGTTTATTTCGAATTCGAATCCTGAGTTCTTTTAGACTGCAAAATCGCTCTTTTAATAAGCCGAAACAGTGTTCAATTCTTACACGGTATTTGCTATGCTGTTTGTTTAATTTTTTTCTTTTAGGTAGTTCAAATTGTTGAGAGTTACTTCTATAAGGCATTATAATAATGTTACTGAGGGGTTAAGCAAGGTCTCCAGCAATCCACTATTGTCCTGAAAAGAATATTGGCTGGTTTTTGTTTAGTGAACAGTTTTTAAATATTTTTGCATCGTGAGTAGAGCCACTGCAACTAACGACAACATCGCGATTTTTGACCTTGTAGTCGCAAACCATTTGAGTTTTAATTTCGTATACATATATGATTTCTGTAAAAGAACGCTTCATGATTTTTTATTGGGGATTCGGCGAGTTTTATTTCAGTGCCTACACAAAATGGTAGTTCGTTGAACGTTTCTCGTACTATTAAAGTGCGCTCAGTATTAGCTGGCCAATATATATATATATATAAATGGAGTTGATTTAAAAATACCTTGAATACTGTGCGAGTAATATTTGTTAACGTTCCTCCGTCACCAATCCCAAAAGTTGATGCAAGTTTTCGTATCGATGCACTTTCTTCAGAAGATCTCAATCTATATAGAACGACAGCTAGCTGTATATCAATCGGGAATTGCTTGCCGCTATATTTTCTAAAAACTTCGTCACTTGATATGAGGGTCAATACGTGAGTAAATTGAATTCGGTCTACACGCAGCACTTGACGGAACCGATTGTCATCTATTGTGTGTGTGGAACAATATTTTCTACACCTCTACGACATTTTAGTGTAATGAGAAAATCATCACACACCTCGTAAATGGTATCCTCTACCAAATCTTCATCTTCACTGAAAATGTCTTGAAATAATTTGAAAGTTAGTTCCATGCTCCTCTGTACGCCAATTTTAAGTACTTACCAGTAATAAATTTGATCTGCTGCACATAATTTTCAATTAAATTACTGACAATTTTTGATTTTGCACTTTGTTGAGGCATTTTTACTCTTTAATAAAATTGAATCAGCTGTTTCGGAATAAAATTTACCATACTACAGAGGTAGAGCAAAAAGTATGTTCACAATTAAGCCTTTTAACGAAGTATCAACTAACGAATTACAAAATTAACAGGTTTCGGTCTGAATACCCCTTATATATTTTCAGTCAAGTAGCATCCTGAAAGAAATATGTTGTACAGTTTTCGGGTTATTAGTCATTGGTAATTGGGTGCTTATTAATTTTTGGACTAAGTGTAACTCCTCGGTTTCGGAAGTTTATAAGGAATGAGATTAAGCTATAAAAATAAATTGGAACATTCGTTTGCCTTTCAGTTGAATTTAACTTCTATATGATAGACTGTTCTATACTATTTGTTTCTCTAACCGACTCACAAACTTTCATGCCCTCGTAAATATTTCGGCATTCAATTCGGCTGTATGAAAATGATGTCAATAAGTACTACTTAACAAGTACAAATAAAATATGGAAGTCTATTTCAAGTATAGTATAGTGCTTTCTATAGCAAAATATTGTTAGGCATGAATTGTTTCTTTTTTGTATCAGGTATTAAATATTATTCTTTTCTGCAGTAGACCTTCAATTAAAACGGCTTTTAAGGTCAATGAACGCTGAAGAAAGAACATTATGGGCCAAGTAGGCATTATGGCGCAAACCGAGCGCATCCTTTGTGATCGTATTATTTATTGTTTGTGGAAACAAACAAAGAAGATTTTACAAAATAAAAGAAAGTGTGAGCTTAATACACGCACAATGCACATATGTATGTATATAAATAACTACATAGGCAACGGTAAAACCGACAATAGCTTAAAAGGATGCTTTGGTAGCATGGCGATGAGTTCTGCAAAGCTTTTGATTGGGTCAAGCGATGCAACCAAAATTGGCTCCACTCATATTCAGATCTACATATGCATACCATCACACTGTATATGTATATATATACTATATGTAAACATACATTAACGTGGTTTGAGTTCACTAGGACTCTCCATTCAATTTATACTTGCTTTTAAATAATTTCACATTGTCTGGGCACAGAATTGCTAGGCGCATATAAGACCTTCGTTAAGCCAGAAACATATGAAACCACCATATCGTATACAATACCGAGGGGATATGTTTGTAAATATGTAAGAGGGTTGGTGTTATATATGGGTGCAACGAGGTTGGGTAGTGAGAGACTGAGGGAAGAATATTTGGTACTTGAGTGGGGGCATTTTAATTTCAGTTCATATGTAAGTAGATCTTATTTCAGTTAATGTCTTTAAAAAGTTATCCAGTTTTAATACATAATTCTGCTAAAGGTGTTGAAAACTGCTGTAGGTATATCGATATTTCTGAAATTTCCACACATTCTAAAAAAAAAAAAAAAAAAACTCGAAAAATAATCAAAGAAATTATAAGGTGATGTAAGGAATGCTTTCAATGGTTTACGGCAGAACTACTTTTCCAGCATTATAAGAATATTCTCATTCATTTAATACATAAATCAAGAAAAAAGATGAACATCTGTTGGACCAAAATTAGAGTACCTTTCAAAAATACAAACGCTTTTCATACAGAAACTCTTTATGGTTACTTTATGCCAAATTTTGTGAATATGTTTCTAAAGAAAAAAGTTTCTCACCTAGGTCTCATTTGTATTCGAGGTCCGATATAAATG